CAATGAACCACGTTTGTTGGCATAGGATAATCAATTATGAGGAGTTGTAACTTACTTTGTGTCTGGTGAGGGACAAGGAGCCAAATCAGTTGTGGCACCTTCAAGCAATGTATTGTCTAAGCCAGGGAAGCAGATGCACAAGCCATGATGTCTTATGAGCAGCCCCACTGGCTTGTCCTGGGCAACCCTGGGCCAAGGTGGGGGAGGGGGCGGGGCAGCAGATCTTGAAAAAAGCACATAACACACTTTACATTTATAAGCTCCCAAAATTATAAAAAAGGTTGAGGTGTTACATAATTTTTATTCAACAGAAAATAGTGTTGTACATAAAATACACATATACATAACAAAACAATGTTAAAAAATAACTTAAATAGGAATATCTGAGTTAATACTGTTTTTTAATCAATTTCATCCCTGATTCATTCTTTTCATTATTAGCATGAACTACTGCCTCCCCCATAGCTTTCCCCTTTCCTTCATTTCTTCTTTCCCTCTGCTCCGTTCCTTCTTCTGCTTGGAGCCTGGAGGAAGGCTTTAATATTCTGGTCTCGCTCTCAGGTCAGAAGCCCCCGCCCCCTCCCCCACCTTGGCCCAGGGTTGCCCAGGACAAGCCAGTGGGGCTGCTCAGAAGACATCATGGCTTGTGCATCTGCTTCCCTGGCTTAGACAATACATTGCTTGAAGGTGCCACAACTGATTTGGCTCCTTGTCCCTCACCAGACACAAAGTAAGTTACAACTCCTCATAATTGATTATCCTATGCCAACAAACGTGGTTCATTGCCAGTCTTTTCCTTGGGAGAGAAACTGCTGGCTGTGAAATAAGTATTCTGTCAGATTCAGCCGGCACGCCACAGCGAACACCGCTGCTCAGCTGCTCGGTTTCACCTAGTCAATTTCACTGCCCCAGGCTCTAGAAGCAGAAAGGGGAAGTTCAAACCCTGAACTGATTGCCAACAGGTGGCAGCGCTTAACTCCACCCGCAAGCGGATACCGCCAGCTTCCCTCAAGCTCTACAGACAAAGGGAAGCGCAGCGGCTTGGAAGCACAGCAATCAATGCGCAATCAAGAACGCCCGGCTTTACACGCAACAGGAAAACCCAACAAAGACAACAACCACACGAACAATAGACAGCAATCAACAGGACAAAAGAACCGGACTGAATCTGCCATTTGGGCAAGGGGGGATTACTGTGGGTGATCGGTAACGAGGCAACGGGGTAAAGCGCGGGAATGGGGAACCTATAAAATACCATGTGATCTATGCCAAGCCAACCCTGGCTTTGTCTGTACCTATCTACGTTACACTCTAGTAAACTTCTTTGCTGAACGTGCGTGTCACGAGAGTTTCTTTGGAGCTGAACGGGGTAAACCTTACATATTCAACATGTGATTTGAAATGAAGCCTTTCTCAGCCCATCAGTCTGTGTCCAAGGCAATCCTACTGCCAGCCATAGATCCCACCCCATCTACAGATCAGCCAATGAAACCAGGGGGAGGGAGTCTTCCCTGCTGACATACTTTGGCTGTGTCACTGCAGATAACCTGCAATCAATCCCAAAAATGAAGCAGCAGTTAATAACTTGATCCAGGGTTTGGTGCAAGCTGCATCAACTTTTCTAGAACACATTCCAGGTTTTTATATTGCTGAAAAGAAAGAAAATAACCTTCTTATTCTAAGGCGACTTCTTCCAATCTTGTGGCCTTCAAATACAACCTGTAAATCTGAGTCAGCATACCCCACCCCCACCCCGTGGGAATGATGGTATCATAGTTTCACACATTTGGAAGCCACCAGCTTGAAAAAGGTTACCAAAATCTGTATGGGTGAAAGAACCTGGTTGAATGTTATCATCATTTTCAACCAGAGAAGTAAAAATATAGAGACACAATACATATTGTGGTTGCTGTATTGTAAGGTCAACTTCAACAATTGATGTTCATGTTCCTTTATGGGATATACAGTATTTATTAGCAAGAATGACATCCACTCCCTTCTATTACTCTCTGGGCCAATTTCTTAATCAGGCCTGTGTTTAATCTTCTTGTTCACTGTGTCCAAGATCTGTGGTCCAGATCTGTGCCATGTTCTGCTATTCTCCGTCTTGTTACAGACACAAGACAGAGTCTTTGGGATAATAGCATCCAGAATGTCCTCCTAAGAAAAAAATAAGTAGGCCAGGTTCTCTCATTAATACCTTACAGATGCTTGGTTTTAATTGATTTGTTAGAACCAGGGTATGTGTGTTTAATGTTGAATTTTTCTTTCCTTCTGTTTTGTGGCAACAATATGATAATGCTAGGTTTTTAAATCCTGTTTTTGATAATTATGATGATGATTTCCCAAAATAGCCTTGAGTGGTGTTCATAAAACCCTAAGAACAATGGTCAACAACAAAACAGTAAAATACAACCATTTGAAGAGAGTTATCTTATAAAGCCAGCTTTTGGTTGTTGCACTTGTATTGTATTGTGATTGTGTTCCACCAATTGCATAAGTGTCCATTTCTGAACTGCACATCATCCTAAGGCTTGAAAGGTAGGACAGAAATTATTTTAGAAATAAAATAAACATGTCACCTTGATTCCAGGGGATCCCCGTGTGGGGGAGCAAGGGGTGCTGGACCCATCCTCAGAGTTAAGGCTGCTAGAGGACCCCAGTTGCACAGTTCCAGCCTTTTCAGGCCCAGAAGGAGTTGCAGATGGTTCTGAGCCCAAGAGAAGTCTGCAAAGAAGGGTTGAGAAAGGGTCCAGGCAGGGGGTCAAGGGAAGCATGCAGTTTCACATATTCTCTTTTATCTCCTCATTAGAATAAACCAAATGGACCCCCAGCATCTCCTCACATCCACCCCCCTCATTTCACTCTCCCTTAAGACCCTGAGTTCACCCTGTATCAACCCAGCAGCACAAATAACTTTTGTGTACCTGAGCCCGACACCAGGCATGAGCTTGAGAGGCCGGTGTAGATCTGGGGATTGAATGTGGATTTTGTACTTCAGAACCTGCTCAGGTCAAAGTTATTTTTTGCCATGTATTCATCACTGGGTTTAGGTCTTGGTCTTATCATTTCCTCTGAGTATCATTTCCCTAATTCTCAGACCAACGCTCTATCCTTTCCTCATTTATAAAATGTGCTCCAGAAATGATTCCAATTATCATTTAGAAAGCTTTACCAGCTTGCAAATCCACTTACAATATTTCCCTTGTTCAAAATGTCTAATCAAAATTAGTAAACTTCTGAACGTCTCTTCTCATGACAACCTAAACTTCTAACGCTGGTACAGTTATACACTCAAAATACTTCATTCATTCTGCATATTCATTATAATCCTGTAACAGCCCATTTCTTCTGAAAATTCCCCCTTAGGAAATGTAATGTAATGTAATGTAATGTAATGTAATGTAATGTAATGTAATTTAATTTAATTTAATTTAATTTAATTTAATTTAAGAGTACCACCTCTTCCAAACTGTGCTTAATTCATAGAAAAATTTAACTTCCAGATAGCCTGAGTTCCAGGACTTCTCTCATTATACTGGGAGAATGTGAGTTATAATTTTACTCTGAACCAGGAATTGCATGACCTGGAACACCCAGACCCCTTGCAAATCTCCAGCAGCACAGGTTGTCTGGACTTGAGGGTATATGCAGAAGGGAACACTGTGCCCCAGATTTACAGAACTTATTAACTTAAAGGCAGCTCTGTTGGATCAATTTAGGTGACTCTGGATAGTCTAGTATCCTGTTTTCAACAGTGGCCACCCAGATGCCTCAGGGAACCCCACAAATAAGGCATTAAGTCAACAGCTGATTTGTTGACTTATACATTCCACAGTGGTTTTAATCTGTCCATACCCAAATTAACCCACCTTTGGTTGCCCTTCCCCTCAGCAAGCACAGCAGGCTGTAGGAGCCAAAAAATCACAGGGCAGATGGGATGCTTGTCTGGAGCATGGAGGGAAGGATCAAGTGCCAGGTGAGAAGGCAGAGGATAGGAAGGAACATGAACAGTCTCCCCTCACCAATTACTGGGCTGACTTACGAGCTGAAGCGCTTGGTCAGGCTGCGATGCAGCTTTGGCGAGTTGGGACAGGAGTCGGCTGGTGGCTCTATCATACGAGAAATGCGGTAGCTGGAGGAGAACAGTGAAGACAGACCCTATATCCATATCTTCTCAACTGTTGACTAAGTACATACATGACTCTTTGGGATGTAAGGTCTGCGCTCCTAGCTCCCATAATCTCCCCTTACTGCTTGCTTACTCATCAATTCCCAGACTCCTTTTTGATTCTCTACCTTGCCCCATGCTCTCATTGGATCTTTCACCACTACTGAGTCAATACTATTCACCCATCCTTGAGCTGGCAAAAACAATGCCAACAGAGCATTTGTTGTTCCCATTGCCAACCTCTATTTTGCTTCTTTTGAGTCTATTCTGAGTCATTGCTGCACAGTGTTGTCCTGATTTAGGAGTGAGCCACTTAGTTTGGGTAAGGTGCCTTTGCTAACCTTGCTGCTGTCCCCTTTCAGCAAGTTACTATGCAAAGGAGGAATGTCCACCATCAGCTCACTGCAGCAGGAATGGAGTTAGTCTGCCTCCAAGACTCTATCTATCTGTCAGTTGTTTAAACTGGTTTCACACCCTATTTGGCATGTCCCAAGTTAAAATAATGTGGAATGAAGAAACATGGGAAAGCAACTGGGCAAAAACAGCCTCCTTTCTTCTTTCCTCCTGCTCCTTGTCTAGGTCTTGAAAAGCAGGACAGCTGAATCTGACCAGCTGGTGGACAACCACTCTCTTACTTTGGTGGCAGGGAAAGAGGACAATGACGGAACCTGACAAATATAGGAAATCTGTCAAGCAACAACGACAACACAAAAAAAAACAGTTCAGCATCCCTCATTAATTTTCTGAAAAAAATACGGCTGCTGCCTGTTAACAGAAAGATCACCACTGATGCCATTTCACAATACTGTTGAAGTGTAATAGCATAAATATGTCTCTTCCTCCCCAAATAAAGTAGTTTGCTCTCCTCTCTCTCTCTCTTTTTTTTGGCAATGTGAGGTAATTTTTTTTCAAAAGTAGGGATGGGGAGAGTGACAGGTATGAGAGGAACTCAGGAAACAGTGCTAATATGGAGAGAAACTGCTGGGCAGAAACAGCTGTTGTGGAGGCCAAAAAGAGAGAGTGCCTATACTACGAAAAGACACCTCTAGTCACACCCACAATAGATCGGCTGGCCTCGCCTCCAAGATGGTGGGTGACACAGAGTTATGTGCTTTACTCATCTTGAAGTTGTGGTGGATAATATCAGCATAATGGGAAAGCACGCTGGCTGGGGGAATTCTGGGAGTTGAAGTCCACGCAGCTTAAAGTTGTGGAGGTTAAGAAACACTGCTTTCGACTGTTTCACTCATGGACTGAACACGAGATGAGATGAGGGTAGTATCTTGTAACCATGAAAGAAGTCTGGACTTGTCACACATAATTATGCCTTAGAAAACTACAAGGGGAGGCAGGGCCATAGACTGGGTGGCTGGGCTCAAATGACTTGGCTAGTTTGTCATTCAGTTTGCCTTGCAAGCCAGCTGCTCCCTGCTCAACTGCACCTAGAAAGGGATTTCCACTAATAGTATCTTTGAAGAAAACAGTAATTTGGATAAACGATTTTCAGCAGGCAAAGGGCACACAGAGCACAGGATCAAGCTGCTTCTCTCTGCGTTGCCATCTTTGATCTGGATAAAGGCCCTGCAAGCTGCTTTCTTCTGATACAAAAAAGAGGTACAGTGGTACCTCGGGATACGAACTTAATCCGTTCCGTGACTCTGGTTGCAACTCG